ATTTATTCTGCTCTTAGTACTTAGGCATAGGTTTCGGGTAGGGTCAGTCGCTTGTTTGGAGATTTTCACCAAAGAAATTGAAGAATTATAGAAGCTTATAATGAACTCTGCTGGCCTGTGTAGTTTATTAGAATTTATTTTTGTAGTAAATAATTTTCTCATATTAAAATTATCTTGGGTTCAACTAATATCTAGATTTATATTCCTCACAACGCTTATAGTAACTGTTTTCAAGGTTTACCCAGGAACAAGGCTGCATTCTGCATTTACGTAGCGCCTAGCATAGCGGCAATTGTTTCCTTCCTGTGGCAACAAACACAAGCCTTACAAAGCCACAGAGGTGACAATAACTAATGAAGAGCAGCCATTATCCACCCCCATACATTTCTATAAGCATCATATAAGCCACATCAGAGCAGCACACAATAATTCCCTCAATACAAAGGCAATTATAAAGCGACCAAGAAGATGGAAACGTCTACAGGCAGCCTGCATATAAATCACGTCTTTGCCTTCAAGCCTACATTCAGACTTTCCATTACGATCACTGATCTCAGAGAGGTAAGTGAATGCTGTTCCAGTTCAAGTCCTTCCGGTAGCAAGACGAGATGCATCCAGTAGGAAATCTGAAGCAAAAGTTAGATCCCTGGCATATGAAAAAAAGTCACAATGGATCTCCTGGCTTCAGTGAAGCATTTATATTTGCTGAGGTTAATGCAAACTAACCTCCTCCCCCGCAACATCTGTTCACACCAAGCTTAGGTCAAAGAAATGTTATTATAGCATCTCTACTGACAAAGTGAAATAAAATACTCAATAATAAAGAGGTGATACAGAAACCAGGGAAATTTCCTGGATTGGTTACAGATTTTTTGAGGGGTGTAGGAAGGAAGGAAGTGAAAGAGATTCAGACCTGTTTGCTGTCTAAGTCTTAGGTCTGTATACTTCCTGTCTCATAGAGCTGTACTTTTGGAGGAGCAGTATGTGCTTTCTGTAGTGATTACATAAGCATCTGTTCCTCAAGCTCCTTAAAGGAAACAGTGGAGTAGATTTCTTTTTTTTAAATACAAATATTTCCAAAGCTTAGAAAAACTAACATACACTGCTGTCAAATTCAGAAATTCATCTCCAAAGGGCAAGAAACGCACTTGCAACTGAGATCTAAGTAACTTACTCTGTTCATTCATAGATCAGAAAAAGCAATTTTATAAGCTTACATATCCGAGGAAACGAAAAGCATCAGGTGCTGCATGGATTTGGAAAAGCTAGACTGGTAGATTAAGATAGATAGATATATATAATATATATATCTTTATATATATATATGTATATGTTACAAACGTCTCAGCATCTTGCATGTACAAAAACTTTTGATTGATACAGCAATTAAAATGCAGAACTGAAGAAATTTATGGCATGAAAACACCCAATATAAGGAACTGCAAAGAAAAATCTTCCCACATTACCAGTGCCCGAGGGAAAAAGAGAATTCCAAAGGCATTGCCACTTGAGTAACTTTTAATCCAATCAAGTTCTGTTGCTGTTATCCGAATAGTTTTGCAGACAGGCAGATTTCTGTGCATGCTCACAGATATATACACACAGGTATACATCCATTTATTACGGACACATTCCTCCATTGAGGAACCTACTCAACTCACATAACTCCTAATTTATAAGGCCTTCAAATTTTTTCTTCAATACAAAATTCCAGTTTTTAAACATTGAGTTCAGCCTGACATGGCAGCAAAAGAAGCTGCACAAACATCACAATTAACTCTATTAAAAATTCAGCATTCAAAAGCTCAAGTCATAATCAATACAAAATCCTTACTGAAGAACTAAAGAAGAAAGCACTCATTTGCAGTTTATGTTCTCAAGCGAAAAGGACATTAGGGAAGATAATTCACTATTTAAAATATAAAAAGCAAAGCCTGAGGGAAGGGAACTGCCACTGTAATCCCCTGCCGACAGGTCTACCAAGAAGAAAAGGGCTGGCTTCCCTTGACCATAAAAGTTCCACTGGATAGCAGAGTACTTTTATTTGCCATAAACACTGGCTGATTAGGAACAGAACATGATTTAGGAGGACAGAAGGCCCAAAAGCTAAAAGGAGGGATATTGTCTCCTTCTCCTCCCTAGACCAGCAACGCCAACTCTGTTTGCTTCTCCTTTATTTCCCTGACTTTTTACCGTATCAGGATCACGCGGTCACCAGAAAAAGAAAGATGTACATACCCAAGCGGTAATTAAAGGATGACTGATGAATATTCATTTAGTAGATCAAGTGAACTTTGCCTCATGTTTAAGCAGGATCTCAGCGAACTAAGTATTTCTATCATCAAAGCACTTGCTGTTTTGCCTAATAGTTGCCAAAGTGGGAAAACATTACTGGCAGAATAAGGGGCAAAGTGAGAAGGCTGTACTGATTTTTAACAGGCTGGATACAAGAACAAATACCAGACACCTTCACAGTACTGTGCTGAAGGAGTCCTTAAAACAGTCCAAGGCTCTGATTCATCATTCCTGTCACATTTAGCTGGGACAGCTGAAGAGGCCACTGCCCCCTCCGATGAGGACAGTAGCTTCTTCAGTCACCATACCTCTACCTGACAGAGGCTATGAACTAGAGCCTTCAGACATCACAGTTCACAGTCATGTATACTAATATAAATTGAAAGCAATAGTACCTCCTGTTAATACATTGGGTTGTGGTGGCTTAGACCAGGCATACCACCGTTCTGTCACTCTCAGGTACAGGGGTATAATTATCTGCAGGGAGCTGGGGAGAATTTTTCAAATTGTCCCAGCTGGAGTCAGCAGAGGACGTTAATAAGAGTCCTTGCTTTCCCAATAGGCTGCATCCAAAAATTAATTTTCATTAATTAGTTTGTGTCATATGACTCCAAGAAAAGGACAGCACTACAAAGAGACAAGTGAGCTGATGGTCAGTGAGTATGCAGCAACCAAGGCAGGCAAGCAAAAATTATTTAGAAATGCCTCCTTACATGGGTTTTAAAGGGCATCCAGACCCATGCTCCCCGGCAAGAGAGTTCAGCTGCGATTAGCATAGTCACTATTATAAAGATTAAAGAGGGAATATTTCTACAGCAAAGCATGCACATAAACCTTTTGTCAAAAAAAATAACGCTGACAGTGATGCGTATCATTTGAGTAGCCAGCTTATTTTCAAAACTGAACAGGTGAAATGTATTCATGCAAATTTAGGTTTAGACCCTTGTAAAGCTTTGTTAACAAAAAAGGTATCCTTTATTCAACAAAGCTTTAGAGCTTTAAGCTTGTATTATAAACTTCAAAGATCTACTTCACAAATCTGTCATTAATAGCCATGTTTTCTACTCCTCTCATCCAGTGAAATGACCACAAAACCCGTTTCTTCACTACTGCCAACAGAAAACACACACAGACACACACAAACGCAGGTTACCAAAGAAAGTAGAAGTGATCCAGAGACTAGCTACTACTTTTTTTTTTTATGAATCTGTATAAACTCTTCAGAGGTCAATAACAGTTACATACGAGCCATTATCTTGGCACCAATGGGCATTAGAGATCCACATGCTCCACTCACGTCTGTGTCTAAAACAGGGCCAAAAAGCAAACCTGACATCTGGACAGCACTTCTCGTAAAGAGTGGGACCTTGACAAATAGCTTTTATTTTGAAGTTAAGACTTATCAAAACTTGTGAATTTACTAAAGCCAGGGATCCTGGCAAGCTCCAAGAACACAGGCTCCTTTTTCCATTCACTAATGTGCTGAGGAAACCATGCGACCACTTACAGCTACTAGAAAATGTTTCTGTCTGGTGTAAATCTAAAACAAATATCTGAAACAGATGGCTCCTTTGGTAACACAGATAAGTAGGATAACTTTTTCTGACTGAACATCAGAAAGCTCTAGCAAAAAGAACGATGGAAAGGATTTTGCAAATGTTAGCATATAGGAAAATGCAAGGGGAGGAACAAAGGTCCTTACATTACCACAACTGGCTATAAAACGGGGACATCCTTTGCGGAGAATGGGCCCCATAAATCTAGTCCCTGTGCTAACAGAACCACACCACCTAAGTCACTGTGGCCAGCTCCGGCAGTATCAAAGTCCTGAGAATTTGGACGTCTTCCTAGAGATCTGTAGGCCGTGAAATGTTAGAGGTCAGGGGGTTTTTTTGCTTACGTTCCTCATTTTTGTAATTGTATGAATGTTTGAGAGCACAGTCCAAAAGGCTCAAGAACCATAAGAGTTGATATTTTAAGTTGCCTTTATTCGATTCCATTCTTAAGTAAATTTCACTTTTACGGGGGAAGGACAGAAGAGGTCCCTCAAGGGCTCACCAGCTTTGGATGCATTAGCACACCTTCCATACAAGTTATATCTCAGCACCGCAGACATGAAGACAAGCTCTAAGACATACAGGCTCCTGTTCTCACGCAGCTATGGAGATATTTCCTCCATGCACTTCATCACCAGCATCCCATCCAACCTCCTTTCATGGCTCTAGCGCTAACCACCAGCTTTCTACTCGTAAAGAACCTTCCTCTCCCTATTCTCATTTACCAGCTTTTCATAATTCATCATGCCAGAAGTTACCAAGTATTCTGTTGACTCTTAGACCTTCCTCCCTTAACTTTCTTTTCCAAACCTTTTGGAATTGTTGCACAATGTCCGCCTCTTCTCCAACTGGAAGATGACCCGTGTCTTCTCTTCTAGAAGCATAGACCGTTTCTGCGTTTCACAAGCATTTTACATTAGTGTAGCACCTTATTCTTGAAAAATCTTGTCTGGAGTCCAACTGGGCTCAGGTAAATATCACAGCAAAACTACAATCAAAAAATACAGCCTGATGCCTTACTTCAAATGCTGTGCTGTTTCCTTATATACTGACCTGAGACATATATATATTTTTATATATATATATATGCACATATATGTGTGTATTATACATATCCACAAGCACATATATGTGTGTGTACTCCAATCCTCATTGCGCTCAGCTGCAAAACAGAGAAGGAAAATCACCGTGGCTCAATGTCCCTTGTCATACAATCTTTGTTTCACCTGTCTGAAGAATCACACGCCACTGTAGGCAGGGTCTGACTACATTTGTCTAGTGCTTACAGCACGGAGGTTCACTTTCCTGGACTCCTAGATTGAATACTGTACAAAGAGGAACAGTCACAACAAGCCTACAAATCCACTTAAGGGTAAGTAGATTACAGTCATGCATTTGTAACACTGATGACTGTTCTGTTGCAGAACAGCATTCAGGTTATGCGTATTTCTATCACCTTTCCTTTGAATTAAAGAGGTAGAGGAGACAGCCATGGCAAACACGGGTATTACTTCTAATAATCCAATTCCACAGCAAATTCATGAGGGCAATCAGACCCTTCAAAACTTTCCAAAGTTGAATGAGACTTTAGAACAGGAAACTTCATACTCTCAAATCACTGCGCATACTGGAATACCAAGATCTACAATCTGGAGACTTCCCCTCACATCAGAAACACCATTAGTTCAGTTCATGTCTGCCAGCATATCTTGCAGATGCTTATATCAAGTGGATAAGGTATGTCCCAGATCCGCTCCCTTTAAGATGTTTCTTATAGCTGGAGAAGATTCTTGCCCAGAGCAAAGATCAGGCTTGGCTCGGTTCAGCTCGTCTGCTTTTGACTATGATCATCAGCAGAGCAGAATTCAAAGCTACTGAGGAGAGCATGTGATTTGTACTTCTGCAGGCAAGGGCAAGGCAGCTTATCAAGAAGACGAACGTATTCAGTGAAACTTGGTTAAATAAATCATCTTTTAAATCAACCTTTGCCCAATCAACCTTTGTCCAGCCCTACCTATAGGTACTGCCACGAGAGGGACAGCAAAAGAGAATTCCTGCGAAGGCTGCTGCACACAGACACACAGGTAGGAAATTCCTTCGATTTTTCCCTAATTCCTCTTCCCCTGGAAAACTCCTCCTTTTTATGATCCTCATAATTTTGCATGTAAAGCTTTCATAGAGTGAGAGGAGAAGTAGTAAGTAGCCCTCTATAACCTTCCCCACTTTCTAAATATAAGAAATAATCTCTCCGTTAAGAGCCTATTGTTTCTTGGCCTTTGTGAACTACTGGTTCTGCAGGTAAACTTCAGGAATTAGCACAAATTTCCAGTGTTTGTCAGGAAAAGCTGCTTTGAGCTGCAATTAATTAATACAGTCTGATGTGTTTCCAGCAACGTCCAAATAATAGGGCAGCCCATCTCTATTCAGTGTTTGTCCTAATGCAAACACACAGGGACTTGAAAAAAAGCGCACAGAAGAACCTGACCAAGGGGAGCAAGTGAATCATGATCTGCAGGCTTCCCATTTCTGCATGGTGAATTTCCCTGTATTCTCTTCCCAGTTCAGCGGCATCTGTGCCAAACCCTCAGCACACATGCATACTTTTCAGTATGCTGCCTGATTAACCTCAACAATGCACTTCCAGCTTTGACAGCACTCTGTACCTCAGGTAGCCACAGAGGTAGTTCTGCAGTAGGCTGCTATCAAGATCATAGAGGGATTTTAGTGCCTGCTACTTCTAAGCCTCTTCCCACAAAAATTAGTCACACATGTGATAAAAAGAGAAGAAAAATCACAGAGTCGTGAGGAAAGTTTTACATGCAAGTAGATGAATGTTACTAGTATTTATTAGGCTGTAATTAATGGCTAATTTTCTGCAACGCTACTCTGGCCTTTTGACAGACTCCAGTTGGTACAGATAGACAGAAGAAAATCTATCCAATAAAACACAGATCATCAAGTTTACTAATTACCTAATTTCCAACCAGAGAAGGTTGTCCTCCTTCACTTTGTTTATCAGCACGGGTCTTTGGCAGGAGTTGCTGAGATAGCTAGCTTTGGAGTTGTTCCCTGATCACGACTATTGCTATGCGATGTTTTCCCTGCTGACCTGTGCCAGCTAAAACAGAGTTCCATTAGATCACAAGAGTATGGAATGGTTTAGGCTGGAAGGGACCTCTGGAGGCCATCTGTTCCAATGCCCCATGCAAAATGGGGCCAACCCAGATCAGGTTGCTCAGGGCCTCATCCAGGTAAGCATCTCAGGGATGGAGGTCCCACAGACTCTCTAGGTACCTGTTCCAATATCCAACAGCCATCATGATGAAAAGCCGTCCTTACGTCTAACTGAAATTTCCCTTGCTGCAGCCGATGTCCGTTGCCTCTCACCTTACTACTGTGGATCTCTGAGAAAATCTAGATCTGTCTTCTCCATTCACTCCTCTTCAGTAGTTGAAGATAGCAGTAAGACCTTCCCTTTACCTTCTCTTCCCAAGACTGAATAAAACCAGCTCTCAGCCTCTCCTCAAACATCATGTTTTCCAGCCCACTACCCAACTCAGAGGCCTTCCACTGGACTTGCTCCAATATGTCAATGTCTTGAACTGGAGAGCTCAAAACGGGACACTGTACTCACACGCGGTCTCACAAACACCAAATACAGGGGAACAATCACTTCCACTGTCCTGCTGGCTACGTTCTTAGCAATACCGCCCAGTATACGCTTGACCTACACTGCAAATGCACATCACTGACTCATGTTCAACTTGTGCACTCATGTCCTTTCCTGCAAAGCTGCCTTCTGAGCAGCCAGCAGCCAGGCTGTATTGTTGCGCAGGGTCCAAATGCAGTTTTTTTCACTTTTCTTTGTTGAACTTCATGAGGTTCCTCTCAGCCCATTTCTCCAGCCTGTTGAGATCCCTCTGAACAGCAACCTTACCCTCCAGCCTATTAACCGCTCCACTCAGTTGTTATCACCCACAAACCTGTTGAGGACATAGTTCTGTCCCACTGTCCACATCATCAATAAGGACGTTAAACAGGATCAGCCCCAGTACTAACCTTAATGAACGCCACTAATAACCAGCTACCAGGTGGATTTTATACCACTGATCAAAACCCTCTGAGCTTCGTGGTCCAGCACTTTCCATCCACCTAATAATGCCCTTATCCAGTCCCTAGCTAACCAAACTGGCTACAAGGATTGTGTGAGGGACTGTCTTAAAGGCACTGCAAAAGTTAAGGTGAACGGCATCCACTGCTCTCCTCCTGCCCACGGAGCCAGTCACCTCATCACAGGAAGTTATCAGGTTCATCAGGCATGATAAAAATGTAAATTCGCACCAGCTGAACCCAACCATTTTCTTGTCCATCATGTACCTTGGCATGGCTTCCACGATGATTTGCTCCATAACCTCCAGGGAACCTAGTAGCAATTCCCAACATCAAGTACGTTCTCCAACCAGCTAGTCTCAAACTCTCTGGGGAAGTAACACAGCACCCTGGAGATACTGACCGGAAATTCTACTCCAGTTGTCATGAACTCATTGACAAGTCACTTGAATCAAACTACTACAGTCACTTCAGCAGCCTATAATTTCTACATCGGATTTTATTTCCTTCCTTTCTCATAGACACTATGTCATTTTTCTTACTGATTACATCTTGTTGCACTGTTGAGGTCATCAGGGTTGGAAGCAAAGTTTTGCAGCCAGATAGGCAGCAAACTGAGGCTTTATGGTCATGTGAGTATTCACACGAGACTTGCTACATAAGCATACTGTGCCAGCTCCTCTTTTCATTCCACATAGACCAAAAGGGGTTAAATTACCTCCCCTTCAAGCGGTTACCTGACGGCACGTTTACACTGTCAGTAGGTGTACGCCTGAATGTTCCAGACTCATTATACCTCATAATACAGGCATTCATATCTTATTCAAGTCACATGTGCAGTGTATCTGAGTGTAACGCATGCTACCTCTGTCAGCTCCTCTCCAGAACAGAATCAAAAGGAGTTTTAATTAGGATTCTGAGGCAGAAGAAAATACAGACAGCTCCGAGAACTTCAACTTACCAGTGAGTAACTTCTCAAAGACAAGGAAATAAAGCAAGTGCATCATTCTGTATGAGAATTGAGATGTAGGAATATCGAACGCAGTTAGAAAAAAGAGCTTTGTAAGTGGAGACAAGGACTTTCTTAGTTGCTTTAAAGTCCCCCTCCAATGCAAATCTCACACTCATCAGTGATAACACTCCAGCTACAACGTCTTTTCCTGAAACTTAATTCCGTTTAGCTAAAACAACTAAGAACAGGAAAGCATGGTTAGGTCAGTGAGGTCCTTCCTTGATCTCACCTCCTTTTCTGTAAATCCAGTTCTGTCACATAACCTTCCTACAGTGCTCCAACATTTTTGTGCTGCCATTGTTTTTTTTCCTGTAATACTTAATTCTGATTTTAGATCCTCGCCTCAGTTTTCACCTTCTTATCATAGGCAGACAACTTCCTCCTCCAGGTCTGCATCTTGCTAATACACTAACTTCCTTTGAGATAGGGAGCCAAGGAAAGCGGGGAGGGGAAAGGAAAAAAGGGGAACTGTATTCTTCTCCCTAGCCTAGTTAACTAGCTTCAAATTCGCACAGCTAGATTTCCTGGGCAACAAAACCCCAAGAATTTTGAAGTAAACAATCTTAATATGTATTTAGAGAGGGCATATTTAGGGTAGTTGACTCTATTTGCTCACATATTTTTTTCCCCCATCCTGCTTGGTAGAGATGACTTCTGCTCTCCAGCCCCGAGAATGTAAAGTGACCAAAAAACCCCACAAGAACTACGGATTCTACCTGCGTATTGAGAAAGACACGGCAGGGCATCTCATCCGGAACGTGGAAAAGCACAGTTCGGCTGAAAAGGCTGGCTTGAAGGACGGAGACAGAGTCCTCAGGGTTAATGGTGTATTTGTAGACAAGGAAGAACACCCACAGGTACATCTCAGTTTAGTCTGGGATCCTTATCAGTCCCCCCTAACCCACTGCCACTACGAGAAGCTTTCTTTTCTATTTTTTATGGCAGTACAGCTAGGAAATCCAAGAGGTGAGTCAACTACTCTAGTTATCTCCCTGCATCATTCATTATCTGCCACGGGCATGAAATGCCTTCGAGATACCTCCAAAGTGCTTAAGTAGAGGGATGAGTTACCAACAAGAGTAGGCAGTGCCCAAGCTGATACTGCAACCCTTCCTGGGGAGGGCTTTTAGGTCAATCACTCTAGCACCTGCTTGCCATTTCACCTTGTCCACTACAGGTGGTGGAGATAATCAAGAGCAGCGGAAATTCTGTTGTATTCCTTGTTCTGGATGAAGCTTCCTATCTAAAGGCAAGAAAGGAGGGAGTGAACTTGGAAGAGTTAGGCCAAAAGGCGTCAACAGAACAGCAAAAGGAGCAGCAGGAAAAACAGTTCCCACCGCTCAGGGCCAATGGAGCGATCGCTGCAGCTCCGCAACCCCGGCTCTGCTACCTGGTTAAGGAAGGGAATAGCTACGGCTTCTCCTTGAAAACCACAGAAGGTGAGAACTTGGGCAAAAGGGAAGGCAGTAAATTTATCACAGCAGGGACACAGACAACTTAGTTAATTTTTTTAAGTACTCTTGCTAACAGAAGGGAAGCGAAAGGAGACAAGATGGGTTCCGCTCTCTGCCATCCACTTCCATACAGCATATGCAGCTTCCAGTTTTCTGAGGGCCACATTTCTTATGGAATGGAGGAAAAAAATGCAGAAAATTGGATAAAGAGAATAAGCTATTATAATAAGCTTGCTGTTTAATATCACTTCTGCAGCCCTACTTCTTGTATACCAAATATATTTCAACCACCGCATAAAGGCCTGCTCCATTCCTCCAAATTATCTTGGGAACCAGTACACAAAGTTCTAAAGACAGCTGAAAAAGGAAAAACAAGTGTTTTGATTTGCAAATTAACTCATTTAGAAAGCAAGAAATCTTAAACCTCTTCCACACACACCTTTCCTCCAGTGCTATTCAACAGAATATGGACATCTTCCAGAAAGCATTAACTCTGAAAAGGGTATTTCAGAATGCAATATAACTCAAAAGCCACCTACGGAAGCCTTCCAAACATAGGAAATTCTGAAATGCACATAACAGCAACAACAGCAGCTCCCCCCTTCAAACTGCCTCCTTCCTCCCCGCCTCGCCCCCAAATAAATCCCTTTCAGCTGTCTTAGTCCCTTAGGCACTCTCAGCAGAGAAACAAATGATTGTTTGAGCTGCCGAAAGCAGGAAAAATAGCTCCTTCCCCCACAGGGCTGATTTTTCCAGGGTAGAATGAGAGACACAGGGGTGCGTGTGTCTACGTCAAAGGTTTGCAGTGCCACTGTAATCTGTGCATAATCAGAGATCCAGAGGCTCTAAGGACATCAGGGCTGAATTTGCTTAGCCATCAAAATCTAGGCGTGTTTCGTTGACTTACCCCATGTAATGAGTTTTCCCATTTATTTTAGGTCAGAAGGGGCTGTTCATAGTAGAGATATCATCAGAAGGAGCAGCTGCAAAGGCTGGTGCCCAAAACGATGATCGTCTGATTGAAATCAATGGAAAAAATGTGGAAAATGACACACACGAGGAGGTAGTAGAAAAGGTATTTGTACATGAGTCATCTTTTGTTTGGGCCCACTTTCTGTTCGGGCCCACTTTCCTAGCGGCCTGTTAGGGTTACTGAGGGGGCAGGTCTGGCTGGTTTGAACACCTCACAGTAAATCTTGGAAGATACTGTTACATATCAATGCTGCAGAGTATCCCGCTACTTTGGCTCTGTTGTCATGCAGGGTCTTGAACCGAGGCTGAATGAATACTGCCACGGAGACAGGCCAAAGAAGTTTAAATACCACAACTATACTGTTGTTAGGAATCCCATTAAATAAATCATGTCCTGTTTCTAGAAGTCTTAGAAATATTCTCAATAGAAAGTGGGCAAGTCATCAAATGTGGTCTTCAGTGCAGGAAGAGGGGGAACTTTCTGATGATGTAGTTAGCTCGGAACAGGGAGGATTACTGTTTCCAGACCGTAGTTCCTTCCTCCTGCTAAGAAATCCAAGATTAATGAAAATTACTATGCAAGTAACCTCACTACCTGGCCTCAGCTTCAAAAAACATTGCTAATGAGGCTTCAGCTTTTCATGATCAGCACTGCTAAAATGCAGTAGGAGCTGAAAAGATTTCAAAGTGCCCCGAGATCAGCAGTACATGCTCCAGCAGTGCAGCAACACAATTCAATGTATGCTAATAACTACAGAATTGTGCAACATCTGTGTTTTGTTGAGCTGGTGCAACATCAGCTGCAGAGTGACAGTGGGTAAGATGAGCATTAGACTGGGAAGGAGGAGAATAACCTTAGAAGCAGAGGCTGAACAGATCAAGAGTGACCAAAAGGTAATGGTATAGCAAAACCAAGTTATCTGTTTGATTGTTACTGCAATCCAAAATGGTGATATAGATGTCATATATTTATATTGTAGGACTCTAGATCTAGATCAGAGCCAAGCACTACTTTCTGAGGCTCACTCAATTTTACTGGCACTGCATGACACCTTCAAGGCTGATAACTGTGGCACAACACTACAGCTAATTCTCTAGAGACCAGAAACACAGTAAGAAGTACAAGAAATTTCCTCAGCTATATGTAGGATCGCACATGCCCAAGATCTTGGTATGGTCTGGGCATGCTCCAAGTTCCTAACTGAAATCAATTCTTTAGTAGACTGGCCTAGACCTTACAGCTCATTTATCAACAGTATCCACAACATCGGTATCAGTGCACCAGTTACTGAAGTCATCTACGATTCCACTTGATGTCGAAGGGGTTACATCTGAGATTGTACATGTACTAATGCAGGTAAAGAAGTCTGGAAATCATGTTATGTTTCTACTTTCCAACGAAGAAACGGACCAATATTACAGAAGTCACAAGATGGTACTAAGCAAAGAGAGTGCCAGCCTAAAATTGCTTCCCCTCACACCACGACTCATTGAGCTCCAGAAAGGAACAAGTTATGGCTTTTATCTACGAATGGAACAAAGTACTGGTGGTAAGAACAAAGCCAATGAGGCTATCACATCTGCCGTACAGTTTCTTCCTGTATAGGGTTTGCAGACCTTATTCTCCCTGTCTGGCTTCTTACTGCAAATCTTAGAAAAATTATAGTTCTGTTGCAAGCAGGGCTACATCAGGGAAATGGTCTCAACTTGAAGTGCAGCTCAGAGAATTAGCCTTTACTGTCAGAAATGTCTTTAAACTTACCAAACATACTCAAAACTATTTTTTCCCCTTCCTTCGGATCTTAGATCATGTAATCAAGGACGTTGAATCTGGGAGTGCAGCAGCCAAGGCAGGTCTCAAAGACAATGATATCTTAGTGGCTATCAACGGTGAACAAGTGGAGGCTCTGGACCATAAACAAGTAGTGGAAAAGATTAAGCAGTCAGAGGAAAAAATCACACTGTTGGTAGTGGATAAGGAGACTGACACCATGTATAAACTGGTAAGAAAATGCAGGCGACTGCTAGGAAATGATAATTTATCATTGAAAAGAGATGTAGGCATGAATGAAATGGCCAATCTGCTCTGACAGAGACACTTCTTCAACTTGCAGGGTATGTCTAAAGTATGTCCATATTTCAGCAACTCTTCTTGCATCTGTATACACACGTGTCATTGAACATCCCAAGTTTTTGGCCTGTTTCAGATTTTCATAGACACTACTGGAACAAATCTAAATTTGAACAGATGAGAGCAAAGATCAGAAGTTTAAGACAGCACACAAGAGCTATGAGGTTGCATAACCACTTATGATTGAAATGGGTAACAAAACTCCCTTCTCACATAGATTAACATTTGTAGTTTTTGCCTTTTAATTTCTAGCTGAGGTGAGGGGTTCTTCATTGCAGCTTAATTCCTGATCATAAAAAGGTGCAAACAACATGTTTAACACGAAAGCCTAATACAGATTTCATAACAGAATTTTTTTATATTACCAAGCTTTTCTTTGTTGCCGTTTTTTCAGGCTCAAATCTCCCCCTGTTTGTACTACCACAAAGTACAAGATCCATCTCCAGCTAAAATGGAGGAAAGAGCAGAGCTGCACACTGAGCAGGAAGTGAACAACAAGCCAAGAATCTGCAAGATGGTGAAAGGGCCTAGTGGATTTGGCTTCACTGTGAATATGATCAAGAACAAACCTGGACTGTTCATCAGTGAGGTACTAGCATAGGACAAGAAACAAGGGAAAGCTTGGGCAGACAGTCAGACAGCCTCTCCTCTTCCTTCTGTCCTGTAAAGCATTCAAGATAAGCCACAAAAAAAGACAAGTCTGTTCTCCAATGCTCTTAGATAACAGAGTTGTAATTGTTAAAGCCAGACTGACATTGTAGGACCAGGTAAAGTATTGCTTGGAAGATTAAAAAAAAAAAAAATACACACACATAAAAAAATCTTCATTCTGTTAGATGTTAGAATGGTTTGCTTCATTTTTACTTTTATCCATAAGGCATGCTAACATTAGTAATTTAAAGAGATTATTTGAGCTGCAGAATACCCTAAAAATGTAAAAGATTTATCTCCTCCACCCCACCTTTTCTGAATTGCACAGCTGACAAAAGTCAAACTTCTATCGCCTCAAATTATACCTCTGCCTCTAAGGGGTTTGGGGGGGCAGGGGGAAGGTCTCCACTCATTACCATGGAACTTGTGAAATGTAATAAACTTAACCTTAAGTTACCAGACAGTGATCTGCAAATAATAAGAAAATTGGTTTTTCACCTGTCTTCATGATTCCACCATGCCACACTTCTTTAATCAGAGCCTATCAAGATCAAGATGCATCTCAAAGCTAAATTTGATGGGTTGCATGTTAATTACATCTAAACCTGTTGCCTCTCCCAATTAATTTCTTTCTGTCCCATGATATCTCCTCTCTCTCATGTTTACTTTGCTGTCTTATAACAAAAGCAGTAACACAATATTCTAGATAAACATTGGTTGTTAATGCATCTTCCCAAATTTTGTGCTAATATCACAGTTTGAACTTGCCTTTGCAGATACAAAATGGTGGGCCAGCTGATGCAGCTGGTCTAAAAGACAATGACTTTTTGGTGGAAGTGAACGGGGTGAATGTGTTGAATGAGCCCTATGAAAAGGTAGTGACAAGAGTGCAGGATAGTGGTGATGAACTAACACTGCTGGTGTGCAGCAAAGATGCTTACGAATACGTTCAGCATCAGAAGATTCACACTACAGCCTCTACAGCAGATCCATTCTGCAATGCCTTTGAACCTCCCGCTTATACAGAAAACCCACCAGCAGAGCCAGAGAAAACCTCATCAGAGCCAAGAGAAAGGGTAAGTAACACTATATTGACCAGATGTTGAGGGACAGGGAAAGAACTTTTTTTCAGCTAGTACATATACCTGAGCTAGGATCTTTAACTTGAGTCTGGTTTTCACAAAATCAGTCTATGTTATTAATAGGGAAGCTGCGGTCCCTTCCCCACACATAAATACAGGTGGGTATCTTTAATGCAAGATTAAATCACAGAAAGGATGCACATAAAAGATTTTGTGCAACACAGTAATCCAAATATGGTACTTCTTAATGAAGACCGGAAACGGGCAAGACACTCCTGAAAGTGCAGAGAAAGAGTGCCTAAGCACATTAAAGAGCTTGAGATGCTTTTGGGGAAACCAGGTGAAATACTTCAAAACAGATTACTCTGTAGAAGGAAGAGCAATTGAAAGGGCATGACACGTTCTAGCAAATGCACTGATTTGAAGTATTTTGTTCACATTATGCCAGTAGAAAAAATTTGAAGTATGGCAAGTCAGCAAATACGCAAGGTATTTCTTCTTGAACCAGTCATTTTGACCCCTGTGTGCGGTCAGCCTTATTTAAAGGCTTTTTTTTTTTTCTTTTTTTTGTCCCCTTTCCCTTATGCAGAAGAGACAGTCAGTTAGGGAAGAATAAGACCAATATTGTCTCCTCTTCATTTTTCATTACACCATCTGCAGATGTCCAGCTGCAAGTTTCCTCAAAAGTTTTAGTTACCAAGTTGAGTTTTACAGGTCTGAAGTTAGCCCCTCTTTTGTGTACAAATTCAGCAGATTGTGGAATTAAACAAAAACAGGAAGCCCTTATCACACAACTTTTTCTCTACAGTAAACTTAAACAACAGCAAAAAAAAGATTGCTACAACAACAAAAATCACATTTGCTGGCTCATTCTCCCATGCATACAGGGACATGATTAGGACTGTTTAAAACAGCAGACCTTCATAACACTGCAGAGTACCAAGCAAGTTTACAAACTAAAAACAGTTAGAATGTATTTGTTACTCCTCTGCAGGCAAGCTCCTCATGCTCTTCACAGCCACTTGCATCACCAACAGCAGACAGTGACAACAGTGATGACACACCATTGTGAGAAGACAAACTACACCAAGAACAAATAAGTCTCTGAAATCCCTTTACTTCAATCGTTCTTTGCTACTACGTGTCTCAGAACGAGACTATTTCTAGGAATGACATACCCGAAAGGGAGTACAATCTCTTGCTGAAATGCAACTGCCTGAAATAGATACTTCGATGTAATTTGTAGTCATTTCACACACCGCAATTGTACTTCATTGGCTTTCTGCCTCATAAAGTGGGTGGTTAGTCACTTCTTTCTGTAAAAGCTTAAGTGACTAGAGGTATATGCTTAAGTATGCTGCAGCGGAGGGAGGAACCATGTTCCAAAAAGCCATGAGTGTTTTAGCCTTTTAAAGACAAGCTCTTAAATATAGAGAAACTGATCTTTTCCTGTCTCCCAGGAGAGGCAGTTTCCTAATCAAAGCTCAACAGTCACCACAGAGATTGAGTTGATATGTGCTGTATTTACTGCAGTACAACTGCTGTGATATGTCATAAGCCAATGCACTATGTGCGTTACACTCCTTTCCCTTACTAACACTGTAGAGGTTTTCGGGTTTTTTTTTCCCCAAGCGTTACGCTAACTTCGTAATTCACAACTCAAAACCTTTAAGCACTATTCTCTCTCCTCTGCTTATAGTTGTGGATCACAGTAGTTAGAATAGTGTATGTAATTCAGAGTCATGCAACTTTGCCTGACTCCAAACCAACCACGTTGTCTTGAATGCGACATAAATGGCTCTGTAATACTGCTACTGTATGCTTTGCCTCCTTGCTGTACACCAAAGACAATGTTGAAATAAATCACTGAGAGTGGCTATTTCTTTTTCCCAGGTCTTACCCTTGCCACCTATGATTTATGTTCCAGAACAATTTTAAAACAAAGAAAGCCAAGGAGAGTGGCTATAGGAAGCTACAAGTTCAAGTCACTTGAGTAAAATTTACTTTTATGCTTTGACTTATGTCGAGAAAGGGATACAGGCTACTGTAGAAGAATACACAGGTTGTGGGGAATACTGATTTTACAGCATATCAAGTAAACAAGGAATAGCTGTCATCTCTGATCTTTATACTGAACTCTAGCAAACAGTAATTCAAAGCCTCAATTCCATTTATACAGGGAGAGGAAATAAGTTGAGATTCAGCAACAGAAGGCTGAGCTCCAGCTCATAAGGACAAGAGATATTAGTGATGCACACATCTCTCTCCAACTTCTCTTTCCTTTCTCTCCATCCAGGCAGTAAATCCTGCCAGTAAATCCATTTTCTATCTCACTTCCAGCCAAACCTTTGGGGTTGACATGAAATAATTGTGATGCTCAAGAGATATTATTATAAAAGCTTATTTAATTCCACAGACTCCATCATTCAGCTGTAGAATCACCACCCCAGTTACGAGTTGCTTTTCAAAAGGAAATCACATTTCCTTAGTGCCTTCTATAAAGATGTTCTTCTAAATGTACAAGTTTCACCTCAGACAACCTATTATCCATGCTCCAATCCCCCAAGGTACTGCTGCACCAAAGAGTGCCCTTATTCCTTGCTGTCAAACTACCTCCCATTCAACACTTGCATTCCCTTTCCTTCAAGTTGTGGCACCTAAACAAAATGAGCCACAGAGCTTGCTGAAGATGTGTAGGAGTTCAAAGAGCCAGTCACACTGCTGGAACACACTGAACTGTTTTGGCTCTTTACAAGTTTTGCAGCCCACAGGAGTTGCAACAGTCCAGCAGGAAGGACAAGAGAGCAGTGGCTGACTGCAGTCCTTATTCAGAGGGCCATGTGCTTCTCTGGGGCTTGTTTGTGTGCCAAGTAGAGGAAGAGGATACTGGAGAGCGCGCTAACTAGGAATATCACATCAAACCAACGATGATAGAAGTTGAACTGGAGCTCTCCCAGGACTTCTGTAATAATAGTGCGATACTCTAGAGGCATACTCATCCGGATCAGGAGCACTGAAGAGACAAAGTACATACCCTGTAAATTAAAAAACAGAAAATAACAACTGTCTCACAATTGGCTATGGGGATAAGATGGGTCAGCGTTCAAAGACTTTATTATCTGTATATGTATATGCAGACAAATATGTGTATACATAAGTGTACATAGGTGTGACCATGGTCCTGTATACTCACCATTATCTGTGCTAAGAGCAGAACAATAACATTGGAGGACTTGCTGCTGGAAATAGCATAGAAGAACTAGAAAGAGGGGAAAAAAAAAAAAAGAGTACTGGAAATAAGCAGTCAGACAAATCCAACGTGCCCTAGGAGAGCATGAAAGAAACAAGTCCATCAATACTCTTTGATTAAAAATAAACATATCTATCTACATCAATACCTATCTATATATAAAAAATGTTTAAGCGAAGGTACCAAAAGATAGGTCAACACAATGAGTCACCTATCTGTTGAGAGGTAACGCCTTTTTACTTCTACATAAAGAATCAGTAGTTGAAATGAGGCAATCAAGTTCTTCTAATCACCATCTCATCAAACGTACTAAAAGGCCCTGGCTACAGCACCACTTTGCACCTCTGCTTACATTTAACATCCCATTTAACATCTACTACTCTTCCTAAGAGCATTAACAATAGAGACTAAGTGGGAAAATACAGTGCAGAAGATATTTTCCTCCCTTCCTCCCTCTGCAAGAATTTATATTCAGATATTAAAAACATAAATGTATATTGAAACATGCCTTGTTTTAAAACACTTGCCTTGTTTAAAGTTACAAAAATCACTAACAGCTCTCCCAGCCCACAACCACACAAGAGTCCTGGCTAAACATACCTTTGTAAGTGTGATTAACAGGCCTCTGATGGAGGTGACAATGATTATTCCAACAAGGATAAAGGAAATGTGCTGAGACCAGAACTTGACCTGTATTAACAAGAAGAATACAGTTAAATCTCTAAGGCTAGCCTCATTTACCCCTCATTGTATAGCTGCCAGTTCTTCAGCAACTTTGCTACTGTACAGATACCCATTGTAGGCAGGTTTACGTACAGATTTTTTTTTTTAAAGTAGTTACTAATGCATTTGTAAACACACAAGAAAAAGAGATTTAACTTATATAGATCAGAAAGAACCCTGTATTCACAGGTATATAATAAAAAAGAGTAAATAACAGAACATCTGTGGGTACAGGCAAACGTAATTACTCTGTAGATAAATGTACTAATCCAAGCAAGTTCACTAATGTGTTTCCATCTGCCCAAAATAAACAAATCATTGCCTCTTTGGCTAGATCCTATTACCCTCTGAGCATATAAGCAGGGTGAAAGCAAAGTTCATGATGCATTACCTTTTCCTCCTCAATCAGTCAGAAGTCAAAAAGACACATTCTCAGAGCTCTATCATTCCCTCCTAATCCGGGATATGCATTTATTTAGATAAGATAAAAATTACTGAAAGGAGTATAAGGATTAATAAATTCTCACATCAAACTGGATTCCCAGATAATTCACAGTGATCTCAATCCCTCTCGTGACTGGATCAGTCTTCCCAACACGGTCAAATACAATATTGATGGTTGCCTGCAAAATAGATTTATAATCAGGAAAAAAAAAAAAAAACCCGGGAAGTATACATCACTGCTACAAACGAGACACACACATGACTTTTGCTTTGTTTCAATAAGGAAAAGGTGGTTTGGGATAATCTAAGAAGCTAAAAAGGCAGACAAACAAGAACTTATTGCCTAAGGCTCTATATAGAAAGATAGAGGCAGAGATTCATTCCACCCAAATGTGTTTCATTCAGAATTTCTAGAAGCAGAATTTTAAGGACACTAGAACATTACTTGATGCACTTCACGTGCAGCACAATCTAAGCAAGCTGTGACAGCTACATGCGTCCACATACAACAAAGAAAGACATTTACATACCATGAAGATTTTCCAGACACAATAGATGGAGAAAAAATAACCCAAAAAGTTAAAGTATTTTCCCTGGAAAGTTTTGGAGTACTCAATTCTCTCCTGGAGATAAAAATGTGGTGGAGGGAGAAACAGAACACACACACAAAAAGAATATATTATTTCCAGGTTCACCTAAAACACAAAATCATACATTTTAAAGGAGCATCAATAGTGGTAACCACAACTTTGTCCTTCGGCTATTCTTAATTCAAAGGTCTCTGAATAGACTTAGGGATACGGGGCTTGCCCCAGCAACTAAACTGGAAGGAAACTGCCAAGTAGATCCCAAATTTAAGAAACAAATTCTCACTCCACTGCAGCAAAACATTTCCATGTTTGCCTGCTGAACAGCTTTTCAATGTCCTGTTACATACATCCCCTTCCAAACTACTCTGGCCTCTAAAATCCATCTGGGCAGTTACTTTGCTTTGTACCTTTGTTGCATGCAGGTCAGCGGTTTCCAGAAAAAGCTGCCGACTCAGCTCTTCTAAGGCATCCACTTCTTGCTGAATAAGGGACAGATCTGGCAAACCAGCATAGTCAAAGCTACAATGCGTCACAAGTTGTTAATTATAAATAAAACCCCCCCATCTTTCCCCCCAAGGGCCACGTTCAGTGGTTTGACCACTTTTTTGATTCAGATCGGTCTTTCGATCCAGTCTTAGCACTCCTCATTTATACTAAAGAAATCTCAAAGACATGCATATGACACAGTACTTCATTTTAAGAATGCAGGCAACAGTCTTTATACAGCATCACTCAGCAAGCTCTTTGTTCCTCTGAGGAACACATTGCAGAATGGAACCAGAGCTCTCAAAGACTAACTGCTCTGCTTTTATCAGCGTCCCTTGTGACTGGTGTGCCTCATGTGTCACTCTCACACCACCTTCATAATTTAAACTGATGAGTAACTACTCCAAGAGATTAGTGGTTATTATTATGAACGTGGTCAAATAGCCAAATTTGGGATTTAAAAGCTAGTGAGAAAGAAGGAGGGGAGGAAGAGTCCTCAGCTTTAAATATGCAAACTGCACACTTCAGGTGGTCTGGCAGCAATTGTTGATAGGCAACTGTGAAGTACACAAATACAGACTTTCTTAATTTCCCATAGATTCCTTCCACCCTCATTCACATGGGCAGAACAACGCCTGTTCACCTGTACCTTTTTGTGCTATAGGACAAGTGGCCAAGTTACAACACGAGAACAATTTATTTGGTCTACAAGTTGCTTCCCTTCTTTTTCTCATGGCTTTCCAATACGACCAAAAAGCAAGCTACAGCCTAGGTAAATTGTTCTAGCAACTCAGCCAGCGCTGCTGTCTTGCTTAAGTATCCCACAGCCTCTTCCTCCTGGAAGAGCATATTTCAAATTATCACCAAAACATGCATGCAGGTCAGTCATATGACCAGAGTATACAATACAATAGAAAGCTGTCTTCCACTTCAATCACGTGATGGGATAGTCTTTTGCATTATAACACAGCAAGTGTGCCCATCTGTCCTGCCACCTGCTGTGCACCTCAATTATGGTCATGCAAAAGTACATTTATAAGGAAGGGCAATGACACGAGATTCTCGAATGTCTCAAAAACCTGTGTCCAACCCCTGGACGAAAGCTCAGACAGTAGAGTGCTAAAGGACAAACTTCCTGGGAGACGTTACAGCCTTTTGCTTAGACTTCTGAAACACGTTAAAACACAAATGCTTCGTAACTGACCTCCCTAATGCTTTTCCTTTCAACACGGAAGAAAGCTGGTGCCACCTTTCAAGGCAGGTGCCAACATGCACATGAAGGATACTTTCACTGCCTGCAACAGATGTTGTGACACTTTTTATCATCCCCCAGAAGCCAGTGGGTTTGTTGTGCACTTCTCCTCTTTGGAACATTGTTCTGTGAGCCACTGCTATCCTGAAAGAAAAGAAAATACAAGTCTTTAAGGAAGTGAATTTTTTATTTGGTAGTAAAAATATTTTATTCTTAAAAGGCACTGTTAAACTAAAAATACTACAGATAGACCCCCTCACACACACACAATTTTTAAGCACCAATATTGCTTCACAACATTGTCCTGATTAGCTCTGGAGTACAGCCCAGATCTAATCAAGCAAGCTACTAGAAGCGTCAATGAGATACTTCCTAAAAGTTCCTTTCAATATCCTTTAAAGGGAGTTAAATCCAATTAAAAATAAACATTCAAATAGCTTCCTCGGGCATATTATTAGTCACTCTCCTTTCCTCAAACACATGACTTTGCTATCTCAAACACAGGAATCAGAAAACTCCTCATGCCCCTCCCTCCCCTTGAACACTTCTTTATCACTGCACATCCACCTCCTCCACAGAACTGTGAGCACTGGGTGGTATGCAGCAGCACTCTCTGACATGCTGGCTATCTGTCACGTATTGCTGGGCTGGGTGACAAGCTCTCCTAAGGCAGAAACACATAGATCTGTTATTGGATTGAACCACTGGGTGCTTCAGGCGATCTGTACATGACTCCTAAAACTTGTTCCAGTACAACAGCGGCAGCTGCATGTGGTCCCTCACCCTCTCATGTGCACTGCAGCATAATCCCTATGAGCAGCGCTGGCTTTTGGCTTCATTACCTCACATATCTCCCCATTGAAATCTGTGAACCAATTATCCACTCCTAAGCTGAAAACTAGTCATAAGATTGTCCATGCAATCCACAGTTTGAGTGCGTTTAGAGTCTTTTTTTTAGCTGCAGCCAGTATTGCTAGATTTGGCACTCAGCCTTCTTCAAGGTTGCTGAGAAGCAGTGTAACAAAAAAAAAAAAAAAAACCACACACACATCCTCCTTTGCACCCAGCAAGAGAAGCACCCATGAGACACCCCACATAGCACACAGAAGAACACACATGCCCACAGATTAGAAATAACAGAGATCTTAAAATGATTTAATTCCTCCCAAGAGCTGTCAAATAAATGCAAGAACTGCATTTTTACCCTTGCTTTCTTCACATTACCCAATTTACACGCTCGCTCCATCCCAAATGATCCACAGCACTGCAGTAAAATGCAGCTATGTCAAGGAGAAGTGCAAGGTTGTATGTAGTCCAGGATATCAAGGTAAATCTTTTCTTTTGAGAGGTGATGGGGATATCTACATACACATAGTTAGGAGCTCACAGAGAAGATCCAAAAGCAAAACTACACACTTTGCCTGTGTAGATATATCTCCTTCCGATGGGCCGAGCTGACCTTACTTAAACATAAAACAAAATGAAGCAATGGTGTCACAGAATCTAGGGCTTTCCAACTTGAAGCTTAGTTGTCTAATGTCTGCAAGGGTGAGTATAAAGAACTTGTCAACCTTAAAGGTGAATTTTCATAAGGCCTTACTTGAACATACTCAGGAAGGAGAACACACATTACAGATAATTTGGGCGCAAAAGATATCAGGGACGACAATTTTCAACCACCGTCTCCTACTGGCAAGGAACTCAGTATGAACGAAGGTGGGAAACAATACATTCTATTACCTTATAACCCTCATGTGCATTGAAAGAGCTGAGTTATCATCAGCGGTACTGAAGGGGCAGCCAGCTAGCAGCTGACAATTTAGAGAACCTTAGCGTTTACCCTGTGCAATAAAATACTGCTGCTCCCATTTGTTCTGCCAAATAATTCGGATTGCATTTGAACCGATACAAATCTAACTTTTTAAGCTCTGCTCTGTATAAGCAAATAGCCCAATTATGCAAGTCATTGCTCCCTGTCAGAGCAAAAAGAGAACAAAATCTACAAAACTTGAGCTTCTGCTGTTTCTTGCACATTGCTGAGACTATACAGGTTTTTTTTTTTTCTTAATACAAATATATGAACTTCAGTATAATTCCCAGACAATTAACACATTTTGGATGGCTCCTCCTAACGGTCATAGAGTGGTTATGTTCAGAAGGTTCCTGGCCCTGGAAAGCAGGCAAGTGCTAGTCAGGTGGAAGTCCCAGACACCCTTACTTTTCTCCTAATATGACCCTCTCAGAGGCAAGATGCCCAAAAACGCTAAACATAAGAGCACAGAGAACCAGAAGCAGCACTGTACAATAACTTTTCAATTCCAGAGACAATATTTTTGCATGCTGCTGATCATACTACATTAAATCTCTCCGCTTAAATACATTCTCTCACTACTTATCTCATGCATCACCATAAATACTGAATTAACATTTGCTCACGACTTAACACATTCACATTTCAAAAAGAAAGAAGATATGCTTTAATGACACGTTCATGTGCTAGCACTGATTAGCAGATACGCACGCTGGCAACTTATTCAGCAAGTTTAGGCTACCTAAAATCTCTCTTGTAATATATTAAAAGCTCCTATTAAAACATTAGCGTGACAAAAGTAAAGTTTTGGGGTTTGCTGTGACAACTGAGTGTCAGATAGACAAACCTTTGAAGCAGCTATGGCAATTACATTTATTCTGCACAACTGGTAAGGCATGAAATATGCAATTTGTAACAGAACATAAAAATCCCTTTGGTGTAAATGCAATCACATTGTTTCCGAGAGTAACTTTTTTGCTTAGGGTACACTGAATAAGGCAAACCAACAAATACAGAGTTTTGATAGTATGCATGTGCACTGCACTACATTCACACTAGGAACGTTTTGCAAGAATGCAAAATGTTTTAACTATTTAAAACTTGCCATTAGCAAGAATTTGTGTGTTTCCATACCAGCTCACTGGCTTGCTTCAGTTTTGACCAGGAAACAGCAAATCTGCAGAGCACAAGTGAGTTCAGTATGTACAAACCAGCTTCTGTACCGAAGCTGCCAGTAAGAGAACGAACTGTGGCAGTTTAAGTAAGGAACATCTACTCATCTGGACAGAACGGGGTTCATTTTACTGACTAGACAGTGAAGCTGCTACCAGAGAGTTACAGTTTGTCTTGGAAGTCTAACCAATGCCACTGCAGTAAGAAAGGGTGCTACTTAGGGCACGGGTATGGAAAGAATCCAAAGTTGTGTACCAGGCCACATGCAACTGCCAGAATAAACCACCACAGCTCTAACCCAGTTCAGCCACCTATTTCACAGGAATGTTAAAGGCCTAACAGCTACAATTCTTGATAATTCCCAGACCACCTTAAATCCTGCTGACTACAACCGTCAAAATAAACCATTTCATGCTTCTACTGCCTTCTCACCTTTTTTTCTTGCTAACAATCATGTCCATAGTTTGAAGGAGGCGGCGCTCCAAAGCCAGAATATCTGCATCTGTCACGTTCCTGCAAAGCGAAGACACCCCGTTAGGCCTGCTATCCCATTTCAGGCAAAAGCCGCAAGCGTCCGTTAAACAAAGAGGGGAAGAGAAGCCTAGATGAGGAGAATACGCTTCAGCGATGATAACTGTCCTAGCATGTAGACAGACCAATAGCAAGGGTCTGCAAACTGGGAGCACAGGAAAAACAAAGTTCCCATCAAACTCTTATGGATGGGAAAATGACAACTTTTATGAAAAATACTTGAATGAATACAACTGGAAAAGCAGACGGACAGATATCAGAAAGGTGGACAGAATATTTCATAAGGCTGCAATTACCTGAGAAAGTAGGACATATAAGTATATGGACAGTTGACAGCCCCAAATCCTGACAGCAAAGCCATGAGTGTCACCCCAATCACACCCACACGGCTGATGAGCTGTTCTATAGACAGGATTCCTGAGAGAGGGAAAAATACAGCATCAGTAACCAGTTGCTCTTTTTGTTCTGCCCCACATTTGGTGCCTTCACAAAACAACACACTCGCACAGCTGCTTAACGAAACTGACTGCCTTCACACTTCAATGACTACAGGTGATAAGAAGAAAGAATTGGCAAGGACCACAAAAAGAAAGAGGTGGAATGCCTCCCTTAGAAAGCATGTCATCATGATTGAAAATAGGGATGGGAAACTCAAGCTAAGAAGCAGCCCAAGAGAGATTTGAAGGGAACTAGCGCTTGCCTTTTCGTTCTAAGATTAGCGATCGGCCTTTGCTGAGAAGGGAACTCAGACCATCTACCAGCCACTATAAATCAGGTTATATTCCATAAAGTCACTTCGGCAATAATCAGCATTAGAGTTACCAAACAAGTTACTCTTGGCAAGCTGGCCCAAAGCTGTTAGGGCCATAGAGAGGAAGCCCTATCCCATCAACCATTCAATTAGTGCTCGTAGGACAACAGTGTTACGACAGCACGGGAAGATAAGGCTGCTCCCAGATATTAATCTTGCAGATAAATACAGGCTGTTGGGGTGCCTACCAATCGGACATTGTATATGAGCATCAAGTGAACTCTAAAAACACATATTTACAAAACAGAGCACAAACACCAAGCCTATGCTGTAACCAGCTCCAAGGATTGAAGTTGCATTTATCCTTCCCAGCCATTCAATCAGCCCATCTTGTCAGGATGCAGTGCCATGTGCTATTAAACATCACTCATTTTTTAGGGAGCTAGTTACGAAGCAGCTGCCACACACAGCATATTTGTAGCTTAAATGACTGCAAAGTTGAGGTGGCCAAGCGCCAAGCCACATTTCATGCTTCAGAGGAGGGGAATAAATGATGAAAACAAGGCAAAAGGACTTCACAAAGGGAGACTGAGACACCCAGTCATGTGCAGCTACCCAGAGATTTACACCAGCTACAGAATGTGCTACAATATACTGGCCTTTTGCCCCACACGCTGTCAGAAAGCGGCATTTAAAACAGAGGTGCCTTCAAAATGACATGTCATTCCACTGTTTAAAGCAGTGTTCTCCCATAACACTCACAGCATCCCTACTCCTGTAATCAGACACATGAAATGAATGTTTTTACAAACTCAGATGAAGGCCAAGAGTTTCATGAGAAAACTAGTACGTATTTCAGGAAAGGATACCTTTCTCCCTAACAAGAGCTCCCAAACTCAGATCTATAAAGTCATGCTAAACAGACTGCAGGTCACTCAGGACTCCAGGCTTGGGAGCCTTGATAGAAGATGCATTCCCCAGCTGCAGCACAGTGCCACCACCATTCCCAAGCAAAGCACTCTCCTGACACAGGGTGACAAACACCCAGGGCGACAAACACCCAGGGCACATACTTAAAGCAGTCCAACTAGTCAGCACACTCCCCAGCTACAGCACAGCACTGTACACCAAGATCAGCAGGATGGAGCATACTGGGAGAGGCACCACAGGTAACACATTGCAGTATGAGGGGCTCATTACACATGGCTTCCTGTAACGTCTCCCTCCACAACAGGATCCTGCACTCCTGAATCAGGCCACCACCATGTGGCAAAGCCCTGCCAACCAGCCTTGTCAGTATGTGTAGGGCAGCAATAACCCAGTACACCAGTGGAAAAAAGATTAGGGGTTATTTTGCTCTAACAATGTCTGAACCTGGTATGACAAAGCACTGTATGACTACAAACGGAGATACCATCTTGCAAAGCAGAAGTTAAAAACAAAAAAAAAAACAAAACAAAAAAACCACACACACAATAAACCACTGCCAAAAGTCCTGGAAACGTGCAGTCGTTACTCAGTTTTTACAGTACTTTTTCAGCGATCTGAAGAGGATTACCTAAGCTCTATGGCTAAATTCTGATTGGGATATATTCTGCCAACTCAAGCTCCTTCTGCAGCTTCTTGGCAACGAAGCACTGAGCAGAGGGACTTGCACTACTTACTAGCTACAGTATTTCATTGGCAAGTGACAGAGTTACAAAATAGACACATACTCTGGTCTCTCAGAAAAGTTTCAGGATCACAGATGAGAGGGTGAGCAAATCCTACAGCAGTTGGCATGCTTCAATTTTTCTCTTACAGATGAGTACAGAACAAAAGTAGCCTCTTTGAGAGCTTCAGTTAGTTACCAACACAGACAGACATTTTCACCAATTTGAGTAAAAACTGAGTGAATTTCCTCAGCTCAGAACAATACACAAACAATTTTCCAGTGCAGGAGATAATGGCAACATGAGTTATATAGGAAAAGCAGGTGACACACAGTTCAATTCAACAGTGTTATAAGATATACTTAAGCGCCCAAAAGGCTCAGTACAGTCATGCACGTGCTACCAATCTCTGCTGGATCCAAACTAATCCAAGTTCACACAAGTATCTTTACGTTATAAATACTCTTGGGTCCAAGAGCGCAATGCAGAGATTCCCAAGCTACTTTCGCATATAAATGCCTTGGGTCCAGCAGGACTTATCAACTACATTGTGGCACCATGCAATTGTACTGCCTCTGCCAGCATCTGAAACTGTACCCAAGTTAATATGCACTGCCAAGCACATTGCTGGTCACAGGCTAAATAGCTCTGATGTTTGGCCCCCTGGCATGTTTTGTCACCCGGACAACCACCGATGATTAACTGACACGCGTGCAGGCACAAAAGATAAGAATTTGATAGACAAAAATCAGATAAAGGATTGGTTGTCAATTCTCTTCCTATGTAAGTTTCCTTTAGCCTTCACAAGAACAGAAGCAATATTTTGTATGATGTTTTGTGATTAAAAGTTGTTAATAATTTTTATTCACATTTTGAGGACTTCCCTTACCTCCACAAGAAGTATGTTGTGTTCTTACATACCCTATGTTCAGTTAGGACTCAATGACTTCCCTAAAGTTTTCTTGTGGTATGGGAAGAGAGCTAATGCAAATAATTTGGGTATATCCAGCCATTTCTGCCTGCCTGACAACGTTCAGCTTCCAGATTTCAGAGCACACTCTCAGCTGCAAGTAAATAACTATTTTCCCATAGTTACATTTCCCTAACTGTAAGACCGATATAACAACAGTTTCAACATAAGAGCAAGATAAGATAAGAGCAAGCCCACTTTCAGGAGGGAAGGAAGGAACATAAACACGAAACTCACCGTGTTTTGGGCTGAGTATAGGAAACGGATCCCCCAACTTCCAGAAGAAATACATGAATGTCAGCCACAGAACACAAGCAAAAAGCAGTTTCTGTCTGTGCACTAATGGAGAGAAGAAAAGAAGAACTTTAAGGAAGTTCTTCCTTCAGCATTTTCTTCAAGGGTGCAAAATCACTATGCTGGTCCCAAGGCTGCTTTGAGTACAGGTGATCAAAGCAGGTGTCAACTGACAGAGCTGCAGGTAGCAGTAGGTACCACTTCAGTTCTTAAGGAAGTCGCTACTTGATAGACACTACCTTTTGTAAGAAATAATGCAGCACTACGCCACCTTGACAAACAAAAGGGCTTTTTCCCAAGGCAGTACAAAGAGGGCTGCATTATGAAAAGGGAGTTGCTTAGCTGCATCTTTCTTGTGTGACCTGGAACACGACATTGGAAATTTAACGTTCTTGTCAAAACTAAACATTTAATATGCCCAACCTCAATACCTCAGCTTAATACAAAGGAGAGAGGAACATCAGGAGCTCAAAGGTGAGTACGCATTAGCACATACAATAGGCCTCATCCAGACAGTAGTCAGCACAGGAGCATGGGTAGTTTACTGAGCTTCTCTCCTTTATTTCTTCTGTCCCCTAGCAGAACAACACAGCCTTGCCAAGGGTTCCAAGGCTGGCTCTAAGTGTAAACTTGCAAGAAACAAAATCCAGTAACATTACTCAAAAGCGCCCATGTCTGTCAAAACCTAGAAAAACGAGGTATGTTGGCATCAGGTAGAGCATCTCCTAACTGCTCAATAAACAGTTAAAGTTAAAGCATTAAGCTCCAAAGAGGAGCTGTCTAGTCAGAACAAAGTCAGAGACAGGCGGGAGATAAGGGGATGGTGAAAAACATCTTTTAAACAGCCCCTCTGCAATAAAGTAAGTACTCACATAATCTGATATTGCTCACAACAAAGTAGCCAATGTAGAAAGGCACCATGAAGACCAGGATGAGCAAAATAACACAGAGGTTCAGCTTCCAGTGAAAATACCGAGAGCTAAAACAAAGTCAAAATACCGTTCAGCATCCAATCATAATACAACACATTTCTCTTAAAGCTGACCACATCTCAGTACAACACTTTCATTTACATTAAGCATTTGATAATATCAGCCTCGCACCAGCATATAGAATATTCTGAGTTTTTGTTTCTTAAAAAAACACAGAGCTCAAGAATGCGTATTTCAAAAGCAGTGACCCACCCAAAATGGCCACAGTAGGCTATTTTATAAAATACTGTATTTTCTAGTAATTAATGCAGGCTGCAACAGATGTTCTATTTGATGTACTGTTCATCTAGTTGAACGGTAAGTCAAAATTAGTGATCAACAATAACTAATTTTGTAATTCTGTGACCGAGTCAAAAAGGGTTTATTTAAATTGAAAAGATAAAAAGAATTTAAGCATTCCCAACTCAATGTGTTTCACCTCAGAGTGAATTATATCCCGTGTAAGACACTGTAGGGCAAAACTTTAAAAAACATATATATTTGAGAGAGAGAGAGAGATATATATATATATCTCAACACATTCCAAATTTTTGAAATACTGCTCAATACTCCTCTGGCCAAATTCAGACTGGCTTTAATGGTTAAAAAAAAAAAAAATTTGTGCCATTCACTATACCAACTTGTATTCTGTTTATGCCTTGCGGCAAAAAAACTTCTGAGGATCCCTATCACTTCTTCCTAGGGAAGTCAGAGGTAGACATTTTCATCTATATTGATGTCCAGTTCTCCAGTGAACCACAGAAAGACATTCTTCTCAATGATCTCTCTGGCTGCAAGCTCTACAGATTAATAACATACTGTCAGAACCAACATTACCTTTTATCACTTTTGAACTTCTTGCCTTTCAGCTCCTTTGACTGCTCTCTTATGCCAGTATGATGAGAGAAGATAAATACAAATCCCAGCTAACCTCTGCTCCATCTTCTCTTTCCTAGTGATTTCTGAAGTATATAGTTTTTAACATCCTCTTTATGTAGAAACCCTCACCCCGTGCCAAGGGAGGACGTGCCTTTGATTCACAAATACTGTATTATTACAGAAGTACAGTTTTTACTCTACAATTGCCTTCACACCTTATTCTCTGCTTTGATCACTACAGAAAAACTAGTGCTTATAGTCCTTAACATCTGAAAAGTGCTCTTCAGTGTGATCGAAAGCATCACAACACTTGCATAAGGGAAATCATCTTTTCATTTCATAAATAGAGAAAGTCCAAGGCTAAAGCCTTGACCTAAAGATCTAGACCACATTAACAGCAACTGCACGGACAATCAGAAGCTTACGGCTTCCAGTCTCACGTTCGGTTAAATAAACGAATCCTGCTGCTCGAACGTCGTCACTGAGTCATTGACAATATCCCCATGATTTCCACGCCCCAAGATTAACCTGTTCATTTGGAAGCTGGACTGAAGCTGCTGCAGAACAGAAGGCAGGTTAGTCCTTTACCGAGCTCCCGCACTCACCTGCTATTCAGCACTCCCAAAATCTCAAAGATTATGAGTTCAAACATGGTACAAGAGAAGGCAAAAGTCACAGAGAAGATCACCTGCACAACATACTGTCGCACCTGCAGTGGAGTAAACAAGCCAGAGACAGCAGTTATTTCCACTCACAGAACAGTGCCCAGACAACCCCCAGGCAAAGACAACAAATCACAAGGTAGGTTGGCACACAGCTGGGCGTCTTGCTTCAAGGCACCTTGTCCTTTCTGAAAATGGGAAGTAAACCAGCAGCCTGTTAGAAACCAGAGGGCAAACTCAGAAGTTGTTCAGCATCACAACAATCGCAGCTATCATCATATTTAACACGTGCCTTACACAGAGGAAACGTCAAGCATGTAACACAGTACAGCAACTTGACTACCGATGGACCCTTCCTAACAAAGCTCTGTGATCTTAACCTTTGAATTAAAAACAAGGTCTGTATCAGAAAACTCTTTAGGTGAATTTGGCTTGCCCTTGAGCCACCTCTGGCCTAGACCATCTTCTCTCACATCCCTTTTGAGGTAAGGGAATGTGGCAGTTTTATCCCATCCAATCCCCACAAGCAATTCAGCCAGAACAAACACACCTCACCAAGTTTAAAGTTCACCATTAACTTGATCTTGTCTCAGAAGTTTTACAGTTATATACAGTAAGTTTATTCAAGCAAAAGGAAAGAACAGTTTCCTATTACCCCTCTCCTCCTCCACTTGATTTTTATTTAACAGTAGCCTACAGAGAAACTTTCACCGTGGCCCCAAAAGAACCAATTATCCCAGATATCTAGGAGTTTTTTAAATGGAAGCACAAAAGGAAATGAAAAAGTAAGTAACTATAAAGACAATTAGAAATAAGATAAGGGAGCTTAGGGAAAAGAAAATGGCCAGAAGCAATTTTTAAAATACTGCAATAACTAGAGTAATCTTTAAGATAAGGAATTGTAGTGAAAGGCCTCTTCTCACCTCATAATCCTTGAAGAGCTGGCGCATGAAGAATAGCCACCCAAATCCAAAGAAGAGCACCTGCAGAAGAGATGAAGCCGTTAGTATTTATACCCTGCAGGTTGCAGAATATGAAGCTGCTTTACTACTGACTGTAAATGAAAGAAACAGAAGGAACAGAACTGGGTCAAAGTACCCAGCCTTCACAGAAGTTCAAATTTGCCGCAATATCATGGAGAAAAAGAATATTTAAAATACTCAAAGTGTAGCGGGGATGGCAGTCTCCGGCCTTATCAAAGATCCAGTCAAGAGATCCTATTTCTATATTTCCAAGTTTTCAGAATTTAGGTTCCTAGCCTGCTGGAATCCTTTGCACTGTTATTTCTTGTTCCCTCCTCTAACACGGAGAATCAAAGTCTACAGTTTTACAGGAAACACAGTAAAGTAGGGAGAGTAAATACTTGAACGTCCCCAATGTACACATCTTCTAGGGATGAGTATTTGTTAAAAAATCTTTAAGATTAGAGGTGCATTTGATTTTTCTGAAGAGGTCTTAACACTGAATCTGGTTACACTCTGACATAACATATCCATTTTGTCAATGGTTTAAAGAAAACAAATACAAATTAAGAAACATGCTCAAAACTGTAGTTACCCATCTGCAACTAAGAAAAGGACATTTGATTGTCAAGGCTTCCACAGACAGCCACAACTATTCTTAGGAAGACTGAAAGAAAGGTATAATGATTAACAAGAACCCAAGCAAAAAGAATTCAGACGACATCTTGAAAAGATATTTTAAAAGTCACTTTGATAAAAGCAAAGAGAAAAATTACTACATGTCAAAAGGAACAGGCCAATGTACTGTATTTTAAAAAGCACGGGATAGTATTTTTTCCAAGAGCACATGGAAAATGTCACAGCATCCTGGCCCCAAGCAGGGAATCATTGGGGGTGATTCCACTGTGCATGACCAGTAATTGCGGATTTCAGCAGTGGCAGAGGTAACAGAAGAACGTGATATACGGACCACGAATATCTGGAAAATTGGGGAAGGAAGATCAACTATGTTTGCCTTGAAAGCAGAACTGAAGTCTGAATGAAGGCTAGTGATAGGTTACACCTGGCAAAAATTGTTCAAGGAGGACTTAAGAGAATAAGGTAAGACATTCCATAAACCTCCTATCTACTGGCCGTAAGTCAAAGAAGAACGATCAGCAAGTGATATTTACATAGAGCAAATTCAGATCTAACAGTGGGAAGCAGGAAAAAGGAGAGATTAACTTTTCGAAAGAAATAAAGAAAGAAAATAACGGTAGTAGGAGATAGCCAAGTACAATAATAACAGGGGAAATTATACATGAATATTAGAGCTTCCTTCTACTAGGCATTGTACAAAAGCATGGAAGGACATTATCTTAAAAGTTCATAGCCTAAGAGACCGCAGGTGAATGTGGCATGTTAAGTCAAAAAACCCTGAGTATTTGACAATTATATGCAGCAATTTATAAATCCAACTTGATACTTCTGAAGATAACTGGAAGATGCAAAGCTGCCATCATGAAGGAAAGAAGTAATCACAGAAGTGAGATCTTGTAATGTAGAGTAAACAATGGGAAAGCTTTTGTTCTAGAAGAATCATTACCAGTATCAAATCTACACTCAAATCAAACAGCTGAAGTCATTAACAAGCAGAAGGAAAGTGCACCTCTAAGAAACAGCCAAAAGATGTCCTCAGAGCCACCAGGGAAACTACACATTCGTGCAAGGCAAAGTCCATACAAGACAACAAACTGCTGTTAGGAGGGGAAAGATCCCATTTTCTCAGCTCATTCCCCCTGGTTACACAGCACAGACTTCACATCCGTTCTGAAGCTTATCAGATCCCTCTGTGATCCAGTTCAGCTCACTTAACTGGCAGAATAATAAATACTGAAGATGACACAAAGAAGGGAGTGTGACTACACAGTAAAGCACAAGGTAGAGTGGCACCTTTCCCTTTTGGAAGTAGCAAACAGTTGGACCACCTCAGCTGCCAGAGAGGCGGGCAGGAAGGAAGGGTATTCAGATGCTTACTGAGTGGGATAGCAGAGAGGCAGGGAAAGTCAAAGAGACCATAATGACAGGATAAATTATGAGCAAGGCTGTTAATGAAGAAGGAGGGGGTGTTTCCACCCAAAAAAGAGTAGGAAAGTTTCAAGTATGCTAAGACCACAACCCACTTTGTCTACAATGATAAAGGTAGGATGACACAACAAGGTTTAATGGAATCTTAATTGAATTAAGTATGCCTAAAATAAAGACTAGTTGAAAGATGACTTTGATGGCAGCAGAAAGGAGGAGGTGAAGGATTTTCTGAACCACACACACATCAGTGAGGATGCATTTAAGGTCAAACGCCCCAAAGCAGATCGAAAGTCTTCCAAATTTGTAAAAGAAGCAAACTCTTCAGTAGCATACCAGGGAGAGAAGTCACGATTAGCCTTCTTAAGAAACACTAGAAAAAAAAAGAGTTACTAGAAGAATGACAAGATGAGCTTTCCTGCCCTTTCCTACAAAGATAATTAATGTTTATAAAAATGATGCAGTACCATAAAAATAAACAAAAAACTCTATTCCCTGCAACCGTAGTGATTGATATGAACCTTTTCATACAGCACACGCTGGCCCAGGCAGTGCACGAGGGCAACGGGCACGGCGACGTCTAAGGGAGAGGCCCGGAGGCGCACACACCTCATCTCCCCTTGGAATACGGGCTAAGGCGAGAGGAAACGGGCAACGTCAACCACGCGCCCTCGACGGCAGCGGGGCTGCACCCGCTCCCACACCGCTGAGCGTCACCTCACCGCCCCGCCGGGCAGGGAAGGGGGAACTCGCCCGGGCGCGGAGCCCTTCTCCCCACCCCGCCTCGT